GTCTGGCATTCAGGTCACTCTGATGCAAAAGGTGGGCTCCCATGGCCTTGGGCAGCTCCACCCCTGTGGCTTTGCAGGGTACAGCCTGCCTCCCAGCTGATTTCACAGGCTGGTGTTGAGTTTCTGCAGCTTTTCCAGGTGCACAGTACAAGCTGTCAGTGGATTTTCCATTTTGGAGTGTGGAAGATGGTGGCCCTCTACTCACAGCTACACTAGGCAGTGTCCCAGTGAGGACTCTGTGTGGGGGCTCCAACCCCACATTTCCCTTCTGCATGACCTAGTCAAGGACCTCCATGAGGACTTTGCCCCTGTAGCAGACTTCTCCCTGGATATGCAGTTTCCATACATCCTCTGAAATCCAGGTAGAGGTTCCCAAAGCTCAGTTATTAACTTCTGTACATCTTCAGGCTCAACACCATGTGGAAATTGCCAAGGCTTGGGGCTTCCACCCTCTGAAGCAATGGCCTGAGCTGTACCTTGGCCCTTTTTGGTCATTGCTGGAACAGCTGGGACACAGGACACCAAACCACCAAGTCCTGAGGCTGCACACAGCAGGGAGGCCCTGAACCTGGCTTAGGAAACTATTTTTCCCTCCTAGGCCTCCAGGCCTGTGATGGGGGGGAACTGCTGCTAAGGTCTCTGACATGCCTTGCAGGCATTTTCCCCATCTTGTTGGTGAGCAGCATTTAGCTCCTCATTACTTATGCACATTTATGCAGCAGGCTTGAATTTCTCCTCAGGAAATGGGTTTTTCTTTTCTACTGCATCGTTTTCAGGCTGCAACGTTTTCAAACTTTTATGCTCTGTCATTTCTTGAATGCTTTGCTGATTAGAAATTTTTTTCACCAGATACCCTAAAGCATCTCAAGTTCAAAGTTCCACAGATCTCTAGGGGAGAGATAAAAAGCCCCCAGCCTCTTTGCTAAAGCAGAGCAAAAGTGACCTTTACTCCAATTCCCAACAAGTTCCTTATCTCTATCTGAGACCACTTCAGCCTGTACTTTGTTGTCCCTATCGCTATCAGCATTTGGTCAAAGCCATTCAATAAGTCTCTAGGAAGTTCCAAACATTCCCATATTTTCCTGTCTTCTTCTGAACCCTCCAGACTGTTCCAATCTCTGCCTGTTACCCAGTTCCAACATTGCTTTCAGATTTTTGGGTATCTTTATAGCAGCACCCCACTCTCTGTGGTACCAATTTACCATAGTAGTTTGTTCTCATGCTGCTAATAAAGACATACCTGACACTGAGTAATTTATAAAGTAAAGAAGTTTAATTGACTCATAGTTCTGCATGGCTGGGATGGCATCAAAAATCTTATAATCATGGGGGAAGAGGAAGCAAACACGTCCTTCTTCACATGGTCACAAGCAGAAGCAGAAGAAGAAAAGCTTCTTATAAGCCACTAGATCTCATGAGAACTTACTCACTATCATGAAAACAACATAGAGGTAACCGTCCCCCATGATTCAATTACCTCCCTCTGGGTTTCTGCCATGACATGTGGGGATTATGGGAACTATAATTCAAGATGAGATTTGGGTGGGGACACAGCCAAACCATGTCACACTGCTTTATTGTTCTTCACAGAACGTATTAGTATTTGACATTATATCATGTCTTTTCTTTAAGTCTCCCGTCTCCATAAACCATTGTGAAGTCTGTTTAAGTGTATGATACATAATAGTGAAATGGGAGAGTTCCCTGACCCACCTTGCAGGATGTGTGACAGGGGTGTGGCTGTCTGTTTGGCCACCATGAGCTCAAACCCCTTACAGGAGGGGGAGTATGCAGATGGGCAGCTGCATGAACTGAGATGAGTGTTTTTTGACTCTGGCCCCATGGCAGTGTCTAGGGTTGGGTGCCTGTGATTCTCGAAACCCCAGTGTTACAGTGCTCTTTTAGCTCTGCTGTCCACAGATGGCTTAAGTCCACATCTCAATGCCCCCTTGATGCCCAGGGCCTTGTCTAGCATCCTGGAAGAATCAGGTTACCCATGGATTTGAAGAGTAGTGAATATGGGGGTTTTACTGAGTGGTGGAGGTGGCTTTCAGTTGGCAGGATGGGAAGCTGAAAGGGGAATGGAGTGGGAAGATAATCTTCGCCTGGAGTTTGGCTGTCCTGTGGTCAAACTCCTCTCTGGCTGTCCCTAGCTGGTCTTCTCTTGATGTTCAGATGCTCCTTCTCTTCTTTCCTTCTTTGCCATGCCGTTCTTCTGCTCCTTGGCTCTTCTGCTCATCTCCTCATGAAGCGTGGGCTTGGGGTTTATACGGGTACAGGATAGGTGACATCGTGGACCAAAATGCAACATTCTCGGTGCAAAAACAGGAATGCTTGTTCCCATTTAGGATCGTGGGTTTCCAGGGTTGAGGATGGGGCCTTTGCTGGGGAATCACCCTCTTCCACCCAGTATTTTCCTGTCTCCTGTCTGTGTCAATAGGTACTCAATATTTATTAATCGTGACTATATAGTCATGAATGACTATATATTATGAAATGGGAAATGCATGGTACAAGGAGAATTGCTGTCCTTGAAAAGAAATTTAATTTATTTTTTTTGAGGGGGATGGAGTCTTGCTCTGTCGTCTAGGCTAGAGTGCAGTAGTTTGATCATGGCTCCCTGCAGCCTGAAACTCCTGGGCTAAAGTGATCCTCCTACATCTACCTTCCAAGCAGCTGGGACTACAGGCATGGTGTCATCACACCCAGCTAATTTTTTGTATTTTTTTTTAGAGATGGGGTCTTGCCATGTTGCCCAAGCTAGTATCAAACTCTTGGGCTCAGGCAATTAGCCTGCCTCAGCCTCCCAAAGTGCTGAGATTATAGGCATGAGCCATCATGCCCAGCAAATCTAAAATTAAGTTTCATTATCCTGCACAATGTTTAATTTTGTTTTTGAACTCTATATGGATTAAAAGCAGCTTTTAATTAAAGGTCATATGTGTGTCTACACACACATGTATGCAGATGTTTAATCACTGGCAAGCAAATGAGTATGTTAAACTTTTAGGCACTTGATCGGAAAAATCATGTTTTTTTCTACTTTTTTTTTTAACAAGTGCAAAATGTTCTCTTATCTCCAAATGGCTGTATCTGCAACCGTGTTAGCTATATGCTGAACATTTTAGCTTTGGCCAAAATGTTTAACTACATACATAGTATCAATTTACAACAAAATTTGGCCAATATTTGTGGATAAAAGTCTATATTTTTAAAATGTGGCAAAGATTTTTCACAGGATACAGAAAGGTGTTGCCCAGTAAACTTTCAGAAAGACCCCATCTGAGTTCTGGTGGAATTTGAAGTTGAAACAATTTTTCCATTCATTTTCACCAGTATATTTACATTAGTCTTTCTTAAATAGTCCAAAACTCTGTTTTCTATGAGACTTCATATAAATCACCATACGTTTGAGATGGTTCTTATGAGGTATTATCAAGTACAACTTCCTCAAAATAGGACTAAACTTTAACCACTAGGCATGCACATTTTATTTATTCTGGAAACAGTCCAGGTAAAGCAATGTCATGTTCATTGATAAGTGTCTCTTTTCTCTGGCCTACCTGAGTGTAGGGCACCAAATTGCCAATATAAAAATTGTTGTGGTCTCTAAAATTTTTTTAAAGTTAAGATTTACTATTCATGGTCATCAAATAAATAATTAACTCCTCTCATCTCTACCAAAAATTGTCCCTTCTTTCTCTGACTCCACACCTCAGACATCAACATACAAGGTTATCATTTTCTTTCATCTTCTGTATAAAACTGTTAAATGGATATTCACCTTTCTTTTTATAATTATGTTTTTCTTTCCTCCATCTCTATTTTAACTTTCCTTCTTTATTCCTTTCCTCCCCATCATTTTTATTCTTCTTCCTTCTTTCTTTTCTCTTTTTTTTTTTGAGTTTTATTCCTTTTTTCCTTGCCTCCACAAACATTTATTAGGCACTATTCTAGATATTAGTTATATGGAACTGAAGATTCTAGACCTTAAGAAATTTATTTTTAAAATGTCTAATAGTAGAAGTTTACTTATGAAGTTAAAATACCAAGTCACAGAAAGGATAAGATACTTATTTGAACTAATTTAGCTTATTCAACAAATGGCAGAGCTGATTTATTTATTTGTTATTTTATCCACATATTAACATAATATTTGTGCAGTAGCTTCTGTGTGCCAAGAACTGATCTAGAAGCTAGAGATACAGAAGTGAACCAAACAGACAAAAGTCCCTGACCCCTCTGGAGTATAAAATCTAGTGACATTTCACAGCACATGCTGGCTTTAAGTGTCTGGCCAGTGTCCCAAGTATTAATTGGCTTGCTGCTGTTCTGACCGTGCCCATGAACTTCCTTCTCTTATATACCTATAATTTGCACACGTAAACTTGGATCATCTGTAGCAGGACCAGAATTAAGAGTAGAAAATATTGAACTCTAAGGTAAAAATATTATTAGTTCAAGCCCAAGACAAAAAGATATAAATATGGACATGTAGAGCTAGTTTCCTACTCGAAGAGACTAGATAAAAGATGCCAGAAACTGAAAGAGACTGAAGAGGAAGAAAGACCATGTGGATAGAAGGGCAGAATATTTATCCTCTCAGAATAGAGACCATTTACAAAGAATTTTAAAAAGATATTTACTATGACTGGCCATTCTTTGTGGAAGCTATGCAAAGTACAAATTTGACTTCTTGTTGCTGAGTGTGGTCATAATTCCTGTTAATTTTAAAGTTTGAAATGACACTTTTATCCTTGAGACAGCCCAGCTATTACATCATCTTTACTCCTATAGAAATAATAATACGGTCTGGAACATTTGTTACCCACCCATATCCATAAACTAGAGGGTAGGGGACTTGTAGGGTAGAGATATCATTAAGGAAAAGCCTTAACAATAGTAGGAGTTGGGATAGTTTGAAATAACCCACTGAACAGGAATAGCTGTGAAGCATGTGGCTTCTGTTATCCACTTAAAAGCTTCTGCTTCTGGTTTAGGTCTGCACTATAACTAGAACTCAAGCAAGCAAGATTGGAGTTTTGCTAAGACACCATAGAAGAACAACTAAATGAGTATGAGTAGTAACAGACAAACTTTCTTATTTCATTCTCTCTTTATAGTAATTGTGCAGCACTCACCAGTAGAGCTATCCTCAGCTATCAGGAATGTCACTATTACTGCTTTATATAGGCCCCTTATATTTTATTAGAGCAAATCAGTTCTATTTTAAAAAAACCTATTTATTTGGTTTGATATTTTCCCATCTCCTATCAATGCAATTAGAGTTATTTGAGTTATTTTTTTAAAAAACTTATTTATTTATTTATTTTTGAAATAGAGTTTCCCTCTGTCACCCGGGCTGGAGTGCAATGATGATCATAGCTCACTGTAGCCTAAAACTCTTGGGCCCAAGTGATCCTCCCTACTCAGCCTCCCAAGTAGCTGGGAGGACAAGTGTACACCACATGATTAGTTTTTGTATGTTTTGTAGATACAGGGTATCACTATGTTGCACAGGCTGTAACACTGTAAGAGTTAAATGACTAACACATGTAAAGTTTTAAGGAAGCTGAGGAAAAAATAAAAGAAAAGGTAAATACCTTTTAGATAAAATGTTTTAAAAAACATTTTATCTAAAAGGTAGTTACTGAGGTTTCAATCTTCAGATCTCAGGGGCATAAACCTGTAACAGGGTTGCCCATCAAGGACTAAATAGGAACTGTGTTTCATGTCATTATCTTAGTTACTCTGGAACCCAAGCTGATGACACCATCACTATAAGGGACATTGTTGGCAGACAGAAAGGGAACACAGTAAAGGATGAACTTCCTTTCAGTCTTCTTCCAGGTAGTAGCACACTTGACATTACTTGCATTTTGTTGGCCAAAGCAAGCCACAGGACTATGCCTGAGTTCAAAGGAAGGGGAAATGCAATTCTATCATATGCTAGGAAAGAAAAAGGGATCCAAATGTTAGGGAACAGATACAATGATTGCCACAGTAGTAAACTTTAAATAATCATTGTTTTTACAAATGGAATAGGCTAGGTATATAACTGATTTCCAAAGAGATTCAGCTACGTTAAAGAATGCAACTATAAGTGGAATTTGTTAAGAAGCTTAAGGATGTTTTACAGCATACCCTAATGGCTTCTTCTCTGATGTCAAAGAGAAAAACCATGAACTTTCGAAACCTTCCTTGGAGCTTGTAAAATAGAATAAAAATCCAGTTTATGAATCAAACTTCCTGCTCAAGATTATCTGTTCTCATATAATCCTTCTTTCCTACAGGCTAGAGATGCTAATTAATTTTCCAGTTTGAATTTCTATATCTCCCCATCGTTATGTACTCCAAATGATAGGGTGTCTGAATTGGCAACTAAGTTTTATATGGAAAAATAGTTAATAAAATACTAGAAGGGCTGGGATCTGAATTAGATCTGAATATAAACCAGGGATAGCATTGTCTGCAGATATCATCATCGGTCTCCAACAATGATTCTCACCATTTGGTATACATCAGAACCACTTTTGAATTGAAAAAAAAAAACATAGTAATACCCAAGCTCTACCCAAGATGGATTAATTCAGACTCTCAGTGGTGGGAAGTGTGCATGTGCATTTTGAAAAGGTGGGGCAGCATATTGTAATAAGCAGTATAGTTTGAGAAACATTGGTCTGCAAAACAATGTTTGACTTAAGGAAGACTAAAAGGCCAGAATTGTCCCAAGTAGTTACTCTCTTCAAATTTTTTATCTCCCAAACTCAAGAGAATGGATATTGGCACATTGGCTGCAGCAAGTTCACTTTAATGTGACTGGATTGGGAAAAGGAACTAGGAGTACCTGGGGTCCCAGATAGTCCATTGGGTGAAAGGTCAAAGCCAAATATTCATTATTTGTTGCTACTGCTGTTGGCATAAAGATCCAGACCATGTTATTCTGAATTGCAAGATTTACCTGGTTAACCCAGGTAATCACTAATCAGTGGTGAAACCAGACCTTGCTCCTAGCTTAGGGTGGAACTTGGCTAGCCTCTAAACTAATCTTTTATTCTTGCTATTGTCACAAACAACACAGAACTTCCAAAAGAATCAAATGCCATAAATTGCTTTGGAAGAATGGAATGTGTAGTCAGAAGTATGAGCATGGACTTGTCTGAAGCCAAGATACCAAATCAATGGGCATTGGATAGCCAGGAACACCCTGTGCTTGGATATGGGAGGCCAGAGGCCATTGGCAAAGTAAAGTAAGAAGAATGTAAACTTGTATGCACTGCTTGCCTCTTATTTGCCAAGGACTTTTCATGAACCACAATTACCATTCTAGAAAGGTGTTATTAACTCTACAGAGAAAAAAATTGAAGCTGCAAGAGTTAATGATGATCACCCACAAGTGTGTGGATTTGGTATATCGATTATTTTAAGTTGAAAGCACTTGAGAAACTCTGTTTGCAGAAAGGGCTATCGGAACTGTCCCTTCCTACATATATTAAGCCATAAAAATTCCTTGGAACAGAGTGCCTTCCTTGTACCAGTGTTACAATATTAACCCTTATCACCAGAGACTTGGAATTATTGCTGTACAAGTAAAGTTACTGAAGAAGCTGTTATCTTCCACTAGCTTTACACACTCCCACCATAGGTCTCCTAATAATCATTCTTCCCTAGAATTTACTGTCTCTAGCCAGATCCTTTCGTCCTGCCATTTCCTCACAAATCTCTCATTCTTTGTCTAAAATGTATTAAAAAATCTCTGCTTTGACCATTTTCTTCAGGTCTTTGGTCTCTTAATGATCCCTAAGCACAAGTAAAAATAATGACACTTATATGCCACTCTCCTCTTAACTTCTCTTGTGTCAATTTGATTCCTAGACCCAGCTGAAGATCCCATTTAAGAATTAAGATGGGTAGAAGTGATCTTTAAACTCCCCAACAAATCTAGGAGATTAAGTAACTGGTTCGTGTTTCATAGTTAATAAATAATGAAGGCAAATTTGAATTATTTTCTTAGAAACTCAAGAGCCCTGCTTTTACTAGTATATTACATGGCCTAGAAGGGAAAAAGGGGTGATACAGACAAACTTTGACAGCATCACAATTTTATGTCACAAATATTTGCCTAAAACTACACAATTTTATTAGACTGCAAATCAGGCTCACTAGTGGAATATAATGTAAAATAAGATGTATTTTTGATTTGACAAGCCTCAGCGGAATAGAGTGGGAGTGTACAAATTTTCATAAAAGCCCAAAGTGCTTTTTGGGAGATAAAACATTGCAAATTTCCAAGCCAGCTTTCAGCACCAGACTCGTGGATGCTCAAGTGTTATTTATTACACTAGCAAAACAAGAGGGACCAAGGCTGAAAATCATGAGTAAACCCTGGAGAGGTGACTCAGGGAGAGTTTTAGAACATTCTTACAGTGGGAAGTTAGAGGCTTACGGTTACATTTATTCGATTATTATAAAAAATATGACCTAAGATATATCAACAATGGTGGTAAGTGGGGCATAGCTACAACATGGCATCACCTGGAATGTCCCATGAATGTCCCTTTTTCCTCTAAGATATTATAGTTTCCCTTAAGGATATTGTTTTCTCTCTAGTCTACTCTTGAAAGCATTTCAAAGCCCCTTATCTCTGAATTCAATATGTTGTAGCCAGTGCCACCCAAATCCCTCAGGGACTCCTTAATACTTTGGGGGCCTCCTTTGAAACTTTTAATTCTTCCTCCCACTGCTGGGACTGGCCAGGGTTGCAGTGCCATTGGGAGGAGAATCAGTACCTGCCTCTGACCTGGTCCCATTTTATCCTGTTTGCAGTGCTTTCCTATTCTCTTCTCTGACCCCATGATATGGCCACCCAGACTCCCTGAGGAGCTCTGGGATGTATGCCTCTCAGATCATCTTAGAATCCTGGACTGGGACTCAGAGCCAGAAGACTGACGTGATGAGAAGATTGTTCCTGCTGGCCAGCATGGTATTTCCTTTGGAGGATCAGGAGAGATTTTGGATGATTCTTATTCCCATATGACATAAGATGAGCTCAGGGCTCTGGCTTTGGAAAGAGTTGGGGTTCAACTCCAGTCCTTGGCCTTGTGAGGCATGAATGGGCCCATGCGTCCACTCAGGCCCAACTATTTTCTAATTGTGGTGCCACCTGTGGTCCATGGCACTAAAGGGCTGTGGTGATGGCAGCAGGTATCTTTAACCCTGTAAGCATAGTCTCCAACTGACAACCAGGGCACCATCCCACCCTCTCTGCAGGTTCTGTGCCAGGTATCAGGCACTTCTCCTGGGATGGCCTCACCTATCTCTCTAACCCTCTTTTCTGAGAGCTTTTGAAACCATTTTTCTGCAACACTAAGGGCCCATTCTAATCAATGACTTCTCCTGCTTCTGACAGATATAGCAATGCCTTTCTCTTCCTGGATGATCTTAAATTGTGCATTCTGAATGGCCCTTCCTTCAATGAATGGGATTTTTTTTTTTTTAATCATGCCATTGGGCCCTTCATGCATTCTCCTTGCTGGTGGTGGTGGTATGCAGAAAGCAGGGATGGTCAACATAAAAAGAGATCACACTTCAGGAGTGCAGTGAAAATGGCTTCATAAGTTCAAGAGAAGACACAGTTGGAAGAAGCATTTTCCTGTTTCTAGGGTGTAAAAAATTCTAAACAGTAAATTTAATAATCAGAAAATGAATTGTGATTCACATTTTCCTTAGTACTCTGGGTAAGGCCTGTATTTGTGATCATCGTTAATGAAACAGCAAAAACCTTTGAGAGAATCATTGGAAGCCAATATTCATGGGTGGCACAATGAATGATTACATTATTACATGAGTAATAATGTAACCAGCATTAAATAAATGGTGTTAGAGAACTGAAGAGGGAAGAAAATTCATCATGTTTCAATACAGAAGTTACCAAAGAGCCATGTCATTATGAGTAATAACAGCATTGCTGCATTTTTCTCTTAGTAGGAGATATGAAATCAGCCAGGAATGGAACATTTAACAATTAAGAACACAAAGAGATTGTTCTTGGGCCTGAACAGGAAGAGTTTTTGGGCGCACACTATGAAGTATTTTTACATGCAATGATTGGACCATAAACAAATACGTAAGTATTTGTTCTCTATCTACTATTTTGAAATTTTATTCAGATGACTGAGTATACCTAATGGGCCTGTGAATTTCTAAATACTTTTAAGGTCCAATTGTTTATATTATAATGTATATAAAAGGTACTTTCCCAGGGTCCTGCATGTCTCAGAGGTGCTCTAATATTAGCAGACAGTCCCAGAGGAAACAGAAGGTATTATGAGATGTCTCCATTATAAAGGGACCTGAGTGTATGGAAACACAAGTGCTTTCAGAGAAAATCAGTGTGTATTCCTAATTGGTAGGCTGAGGGCATAGTCTGAAAGAGAAGAAACTCCAAAACATTAATCAGGGAAGAAACGAATAGACAACTTCTGTGCCAGTAAGGAAAAGGGTAGCATCAACATGAACATTAGATACCTCCGAGTGCTAAGCTTTAATAATGGCAAGGGACATAGTTTAACAGTAGGCCCAGATCTTGATTACTTTTCCTAATGAGAGTGAAGCACAGCATGGAAAAGTGACAACTTGAGACAATTCAAAATGTCACATTAGTTTTGAGTTTCAATCTCATCCACAACCAGTCTTCATAAAAACTGCTAATGAGTAGTAAATTGGACTGATTTGAGTTTTACTTCGATTTGCTTCTTGTGCTAATCTTCAGAGAAAGGGTTTAAGGCAGTAGGATGTCATGGATAGTGGATGAGAGCAGAATTCAAGCAACCTGAGTTAGAGCCTTTGCTCTACAGTTAACAATCTGTGTGGCCCAGGGCAAGAAAACAAAGAAATCAGCTGTTTATGAACATCTGTCAGGTGCCATGCACTGTGCTAGGTCAGAGGAGACAGATGAACAGGACGCTCCCCCCAACTGCTCACAGACTGGCAATGTAGACTGAGATGTAAAAAGATAATTGGAATATATTGTGATAAGTCTCTTATAGAATTATGAGCAAAGGACTGTGGGAGTCCAGAATATAGTGTGATTCAACAATGAGAAGATCAGTAAGTATACATGTTAGTCAGTGCTGTAAATAATGAAAGTCGCATATGTAATTTTAGCATTTCTAGGAAGTACTTTGAAAAAATTAAAAAGACACAGTTGAAATTAACCTTAATAATATGTTATATTTAACCCAACAGATTCAAAATAGCATTTCAACATAGATATTTCAACATAATAACAAAATAGCATTTCAACATAAATAGATATAAAAGTTAATTTTATATCTATTTGCTAATGAGATTTTATATCTATTTAATATTTATCAATAAAATTTACTAATTTTATATCTATTAGTGAGACAGTTTACATTTCTTCTCTAGGTCTGTGAAATTCAGTGTCTGTTTTCTACTGTAGCACATGTTAATTTGGACTAACCACATTTCAAGTGCTCAGTAGCCACATGTGGCTAGTGACTACTATCTTGAGCAATGCAATGATAAGCCTGCACTTACGCTGGAAAAGACTTAAGGCAGGGATCCCCAACCCCCAGGCCACAGACTGATACCAATCCACAGCCTGTTAACCCAGCCACACAGCAGGAGGTGAGAGACGGGCCAGCAAACAACATGTCATCTGTATTCACAGCCACTCCACATTGCTCTCCTAACCATCTGAGGCCCCACCTTCTGTCAGATCAGCGAAGGCATTAGATTCTCATAGGAGTGCAGACTTTATTGTCAACCTCACACATGAGAGATCTAGGTTATACTCCTTATGAGAGTCTAATGCCTGATGACCTGTCACTGTCTCCCATCACCTCCATATGAGATTCTCTAGTTGCAGGAAACAAGTTCACTGATTCTACATTATGGTGAGTGGTATAATTATTTCATTATATATTACAATGTAATCATAATAGAAATTAAGTGCACAATAGATGTAATGTGTTTGAATCATCCCAAAACCATCCCCTGCTCCCCCAACAGTTGGTGGAAAAATTGTCTTCCATGAAACCAGTCCCTGGTGTCAAAAAGGTTGGGGACTGCTGACTCAAAGTATTTCTGCACTATTTAATGAGGAATTCCTAGCTTAACCTAAGAACATTTGAAAAACACCTAGAGATGTTTAATGTTCTACAACAATGGTTCCAATGCATGAGTTCACAAACTTATAATGATACTGATAAGAATCTCATGGGAAATGTAAAAAGACACACTCTCAGATTCCTGAGATTCTAAATCATTGAGTCTTGAGCAGATCTTAGGAATATGTACATATATGATAAACATTGATTAGTCCTAGGTTTTTCCAGGTTGGGAACTACTGGCCAATAAGCTCCTTGTAAGTCACCTGTGGAAATCAAAAGGGCAATTTGATTTCAGGTAGCATTACCAGAATGATCTTCCTCTGTGTGAATGGCCACAGGTGAAGTGTTTTTTGTTGTTGTTGTTGTTTGTTTGCTTATCTTTTAAATTATACTTTAAGTTCTGATATACATGTGCAGAATGTGCAGTTTTATTACATAGGTATACACATCCCATGGCGGTTTGCTGCACCCATCAATCCTTCATCTACATTAGGTATTTCTTTTAATGCTATTCCTCCCCAAGCCCCACACCCCCCAACAGACCCTGGTATGTGATGTTCCCCTCCCTCTGTCCATGGGTTCTCATTGTTCAACTCCCACTTAAGAGTGAGAACATGTGGTGTTTTTTTTTTGTTCCTGTGTTAGTTTGCTGAGAATGATGGTTTCCAGCCTCATCCTCCCTGCAAAGGACATTAACTCATCCTTTTTAATGGCTGCATAGTGTTCCATGGGGTATATGTGCCACATTTTCTTTATCTAGACTATTACTGATGGGCATTTGAGTTGGTTCCAAGTATTTGCTATTGTGAATGGTGCTGCAATAAACAGACATGTGCATGTGTCTTTATAGTAGAGTGATTTATAATCCTTTAGGTATGTATCCAGTAATGGGATTGCTGGATCAAATGGTATTTCTGGTTCTAGATCCTTGAGGAATTGCCACACTGTCTTCCACAATAGTTGAACTAATTTAAAATCCCACCAACAGTGTAAAAGCATTCCTACTTCTCCACATCCTCTCCAGCATCTGTAGTTTCCTGACTTTTTAATGATCACCATTCTAACTGGCGTGAGATGGTATCTCATTGTGGTTTTGATTTGCTTTTCTCTAATGTCTAGTGATAATGTGCTTTTTTTCTTGTTTGTTGGCCACATTAATGTCTTCTTTTGAGAAGCGTCTGTTCATATTCTTTGCCCACTTTTTTGATGGGGTTGTTTGTTTTTTTCTTGTAAATTTGTTTAAGTTCCTTGTAGATTCTGGATATTAGCCCTTTGTCAGATGGATATACTGCAAAAATTTTCTCACATTCTGTACGTTGCCTGTCCACTCTGATGATAGTTTCTTTGGCTGTGCAGTATTTCTTGAGAAACTACATTGCTTATCTTCCTGGAGTGGTGTGGTATCTGGAGCCAGCCCTGCCTTCAACTCTTATCACTCTATCACTCCCTCAGCCTAGAATGGATGGCATCTCTACACTAGGCTTCAGGAAGGTATGCAGGTTTTATTTTTCCCTTTGGGTCACATTATTTTTTGTCTGATGATTTTCAGATGAATTATCCCAAAGTTGGCTATGCATTACAATAATCTAGATAACATTAAAATTATTTTTCATGGATTCCCTTTTGAGTATAGGAAGTGGAGCTTCTAGAACTCTGCATTTTTACGTATTCTTCAGTAAGCACTTGGTGTGTGGAAAAACATTGGTGGAGGCAGTGACCTAGAGAATTATTTGAAAATGTGTTGCTAGGGTTTCTGTTTCCATTGATAGATTTCAGCTTTCTTTACCACCATATACAGTAGGAGTTAATGGCCTACGGCAGTCTTTGTTTGATATTTGCCTCTGCAGTTTACTAACTGTATGATCTTGTTAAGATATTTACCATGTTCAAGATTGTGCTTCCTCATCAGTAGGATGGAGATGATAATATTCAATTTGAGGGCTGGGGGTTGTGTCCTAGGGCTCAGGTCTTGGTTCTTCTTCATGTTTAATCACTCTGTGATCTCATCTAGTCTTGTGGCTTTAAATAGCACCTACAGCTGATGACTTCCAAATTAACATCTCTAATCTGTACTGACTTCTAATCCAGACCAATTTACATGAATATCTGATAGACAGCTCACATCTAACATGCCTAAAACATAACTCTGTAATCAATTTCCAGAATAGTTTTTTAACTCATCTCAGAAAATGACAACTCTGAAGTCCTAGTTGTATAGGTCAAAAACCATAGTCTCTTGTAAAGTATCTGTTCATATCCTTTGCCCACTTTTGAATGGGCTTGTTTTTTTCTTGTAAACCTGTTTTAGTTCTTTGTAAATTCTGGATATCAGCCCTTTGTCAGATGGTAAACTGCAAAAATGTTTTCCTGTTCTGTTAGTTGCCGATTCACTCTAATGACTGTTACCTGGAAACCATCATTCTCAGCAAACTGACACAAGAGCAGAAAATCAAACACCACATGCTCTCACTCATAGGCGGGTTTTGAACAATGAGAACATATGGACACAGGGAGGGGAGCACTACACACTAGGGTCTGTTGGGGGGAAATAGGGGAGGGACAGTGGGTGTGGGGAGTTGGGGAGAGATAGCATGGAGAGAAAGGCCAGATATAGGTGATGGGGAAGAAGGCAGCAAATCACACTGCCACGTGTGTACCTATGCAACAATCTTGCATGTTCTTCACATGTACCCCAAAACCTAAAATGCAATAAAAAATAAAATAAATAAAATGAACCATAGTCTCATTTTGACTCCTTTCTTTCTCCTATACTTCACATTAGTAAATCTTACCAACTCTGCTTTTAAAATACCCAGAATTTGATAACATGTCACCAACTCTACCATTGCCACCTTGATTATTTCTAGCCTAGATTATTTCAATGGCTTTTCAACATTTCCTTGCTTTTGTCCCTCTGTTCCCCAACTGTCTGTCCTCAGTAGAGTAGCCAGAGTGACACTTTGGAAACTTAAGTCAAAATCACATTACTGCTCTGCTCTACTTGAGATGGGTTCTCTTTTAGAGTAAAACCTCAAATCTTTAAAACCACCTGCAAAGCAACTTTTGACCCAGAATTCTGTTTCTTCTCCAATCTCAATTTCTCCTCATTTTCTCCTAGCTTATTCTTTAGGCACATTTGTGCATATCCCCTAAAACAACAAACATAGCCTTATTTCTGAGTCTTTGCAAATGTTATTTCTTTTCTGTCATGTTCTTCTTCCCCCAATGTTTTTTGTTTGTTTGTTTATTTTTGTTTTGAGATGGAGTCTTACTCTGTTGCCCAGGCTGGAAGTGCAGTGGCACGATCTCAGCTCACTGCAACCTCCACCTCCCAGGTTCAAGCAATTCTTCTGCCTC